AACCTGTGAGGTTTCAGTATGTAGCTTTCGTCACCCAATGCGTCCATGTGTCCGGCAGTCGCAAACGTCACTCAACCCGTTAGGTCTCAATACCCAGCTATCCTCACTTAAAGCGTCTATGTGTTAGCACTATCCAACATCACTCAACTCGTGAGGTTTCAGTATGTAGCTATCCCCACGCAGCGCGTCTATGTGTCGTGCAAACTCAAAAACCGATCCATCTGTGAGGTTTCAGTATGCAGCTATCCTCACTCAACACGTCTATGTGTCCGGCAATCTCCATCACAAATCACCTGTGAGGTTCACTATGTAGCTATCCCCACTCAGCGCGTCTATGTGTCTGGCAAACTCAAAAACCAATCCATCTGTGAGGTTTCAGTATGCAGCTATCCCCACTCAACGCGTCTATATGTCCGGCAATCTCCATCACAAATTACCTGTGAGGTTCGGTATGTGTCTATCCTCATTCAACGCGTCTATGTGTCCGGCACCCCAACATCACTCAACCCGTGGGGTTTCAGTATGCAGCTATCCCCACTCAACCCGTCCATGTGTCTGGCAATCTCAAACTTCACTCAACCCTTGGGGTTTCAGTATGCAGCTATCATCACTCAACACGTCTATGTGTCCCGCAATCTCCTACATCACTCAGCGCGGGGGGGTGGNCACGAAGCGCCGTGAGGTATTCGGCGAGTGGCATGAAGGGTGCGCTGCATCCTGCTAAGGGTGTTCGGCATCTTGTACTTACTTCCTTGCGTACGGATGACAGCTGCGTATGACTTAATTTAATTTCTGGTGTTTTCACCTCCAGAGACAGTTATAGGCACTGTGTAACTGCCTCGAGGATGCTTGACCATTTTAACACAGCGTGGTGCGATCATCCCCCTTGCGCGGAGTGAAGATTCTCCACCCCGCACAACATGGTCTACTCGACCACCATTCATGGTTATCGCCAAGGGGAGGGGGGGTCGAGAATAGGCTGACTCAGATCTAAAACTCCGGGGTTTATTCACACCAAACCCTTGCACAGCAGTAGGAGCGTCGTCGAGAGGTTCATCAGTAGGTTTGAAGAAACAACCTTGGCCCGCAAATTCAAGTCAACAACCAATGTCCAACACATCGGGCAAACGATACACGACGAAGGTTGGTAAGAGACGGTTGTTGTCTACAGGTTCTGTGTACAGGCTCATCATGTTCAGACGTGTTTGTGTGGCGCGGGGGTACACGCCAGCCTTCACGTTTGGCACACTGCTGGGTACCTGGAAAATCACGAGCATTTACTCTGTTACTTTTTATTGTTAGCGAGCAAGCTAAAGTAAGGAGCGGCGGGAAGTTGAAGCGCGGCAAGTTGAAGCAGCTTCGACAAGTTTTCTTGAGGTATTCGATACACTCGGGCCAAGTTTTATTTTGTCGCACAACGATTGGGCACAGTCGTGTGCCTCGGACGGATGCCACACACGAACGCACGCCTCGAACTACGTTCGACAACCATTGCAGCACCACCAACAAACTCATGGCAAAAGCTCCTCAAGTACCATACATCGATCGATGGTGATCGAACGATGACGCGACGAAGCGCATGTTATGGCTGAGAGGTGAACACGAACGCGCGGTGCTACGATACACGCTCGTGCCGCGTTTGAAATGACGCTTTGAATTGAGTTTGTCATCTTACCAGCAAGCAGGAATTTGGCTATACTGCTGTAATATATAGTCTTGCAGGAGTTGAATATCCGAGAAAACCCTTACCTTGGTACTAAATATCAACCTTCCTTGGGCGTTGTAACGATACTGTACGTAGGTACGATATATTATAACTATTCTCTGTATATCATTCGACTGCCAATACATACACCGGTGGTGGCGGCCGTCTTGCCGAATGCGCAAAGTCACCCGAGACTGGATGGAGGCGGGGCGGCGCGTAGGTTATGTACAACTGCTGTACAGCATAAGGTGCTTGCTGTGTGCCAGTCTTGGCCACTCCAACTTGCACAAAAATACGCGAAAAAAAATGTCGATTTGTGATGGGAGGGACCTCAAAACCTAAATCAGCACTCCCCCACGTGATCGTTTGCATTTCCAAAGTGTGGTGGGGGGCGAGGGATGGAGGTCTGGAAAATGAAGCAACTTGCTTGTGTGAATACTGATTGGAAGCAACAGCGGTGCCCGGAGGATGGGGGGGGCAGCGAGGCCTCTCTGCAGCAGTAAGTTTTTCGTGTGGAAAATAACTCACGGCCAGCAGCAATCCGCGGAACACGCCAGAGGCAGCCACGAGAGCAAAAGAGTCGGTCGGAGTGAAAATATATCATACGCAATCGCCTCTCGGTCACGCACCATGATAGGGCCGACTTTTCCCCCACTCATCCCGACACCAATAGCCAGTGGATCGTATGCCTGGCTCTTGGTGCAAAATACGCATGCCAGGCAGGCTATCTCTTTGGTAATGGATTTTTCTCGTATTTAGTCTCTTTGCCCGCCAAAGCACCGCCACGTACCAACATACCTTCAAGTAGGCTACATTTTCCTCGTCCGAGAGCGGCTCCCCGTGCTGCATGCTCTCCGACATCCGGGTCGGGGTGCGCGAGGCACGCCCATGAGAGCGAGAGCCCTCCACGGTTGTTGGTGGTGTTGGCGCCTTCAAAGGAACCAGAAACAAGTCAGGTGATCTGTCTCAAAACAAGGGTCAGGGTCAGCAGACAACAGGGTGTAGTGACAAACAAGGGGTCTTCTCGGATGGCTCTGGGGCGAAATCGATGGGGGGGGGTGCATGTATCACTGAACAAGCCCCCTGCCCAGCTGTGCGGCTGTTTGTTCTGCTCCAACTCTGCTGCTGCCTTCGTTTAGTTCGAGCTATCACACACACTGTTCTGCGACTGCTGTGTCGCGTACCGAAGCAGAAAGGATGGCGGTCCGAGCAATTTGGTTACAACGTTCGGCGAGGAGAGCTACCGGTGGTAGCCCTGTAAGTACCATTCTACATATGCGTTGAGATTACCCGTTGTGTTGTCTACTCTCAGGAAACGGCGGCGTATCTCCTTTGCTCACACAGCGGTTGCAGCACAGCGGCAGCAGCAGCGGGTAGCGTTGATGTCCTGCAGCCTACGCAGGTACATACCTCATGCATTGCCACACACGGATGATGCACCGTGGTTTTGAGAACTGCTATCAAAACCCATCCTGCTGCTGTATGCTTGCGTACACCGGGAAACAAATGTTCGTCCGTCACATGCGTCGGGCCGAACACTGAAGAGGCCCGTCCGGTACCCCATCGAGCTTGTGTGAAGGCCATGCCAAAGGGCATTGCACGTTTTTGCACATGTCAGAGCTGAGCGATCGCAGCAGGCGCCGAGATAAGCTGGCAAGGCCACCCAATGCGCCCATCCCCCTTTGCAGTCATTCTGCCGTGCGCGGTGTTGTTGCACTTTGACGGCCCTTGCAACTCAGCCGTGTTGCACACTTTTGCTGCCAGGCTGGGATGTGCCATATCATGCGCATGTTTCTGTCAAAAGATGGCTAGAGGAATTGTAGTGCGCTGGGATGATGCTGCGGACGTTAACGCTGAATGGTATTGTAACAGCAAGTGACAACCAAGAGTGACGACTGTGATTTTGACTACTGTGGATAAATCAGCAGCAGCTCTGAGGAACACCGACGTTGGTTGGAACAACTTGTGGTTGTCGGCTTCCTTGCCGTCCACAGGCGCCAGCAGCAGCAGCAGCAGCAGCAGCAGCAACAACAGCAGCCGCGATTCATAGACCCCTGCCAAACGTCGACATGAAAGCACTCCGTCCGTTTTTCTCGGCACGTTCGTCGTCTTTGCTACGCCCTCACGTTCGGCCCCCCCCCCGCACGGCTCCCCCTATCCCCGGTGTCGCCGCTTCCTTCGGCGAAGGAGCAGCTGCTGCTTCGCCGAGGCTTCCACGTCTCTCCCCGCCTTCTTCTCGGGGCCACGCCCTCGTCAGGATCGGTGAGGACGGCTGGCTACAGCAGCATTCATTCTCCTTGTTGACTCGTCTCGTTGTTGCTGTGTGGAGCAAAAGGGGGCGGTGTGTCGGGTGCAGATTAAATTGGGGTGGGGTCCCGCTGCCTTGCTGGGTTTGTTTGTTGTATGTTGGCCCAGACAAGAGCAATGGAACACGTTCGGCGTCGAAAGGATAACGCTGTACTGCTGTGCCTATGGGCATAAGGGCAATGGTGTGTTGACACGTGCTTCTCTCTTCTCTCTCGCATAACATGTAGTCTACGCTGCTGTGATCAGGTACACGGGAGACATATGCTATACCCGTGGGATTATTTCGGTACATACAAATAGAATTAAGAGTGTTGTGCCCCAGGGTACTTTGTAAATGTGGCCCACACGTGCATGTTTTTCTTTCCGATGGAAAACAGACCAAGCATATGCCTCCACTCGTGTGCGTGTGCTGTCAACAGCACTCTATGAGCAGTCACCGCACGCGATGCTTGTAGCCAACAACGACAGCAGTCAAACCCTATCGTGTCCACACGCACAACAAGGCAAATTGAGCAAGGAACGCGCGGCGTAGTAAATATCTTGCGGTGTGTACCGCATGCATGCACTGCAGGAATCCAAGGGCCCAAGCCGGGCCCGCCTTCTCAGCGAGGGCACGCCGGAGTGGATCGAGCAATGGAGCCCCGAGGTGTTCCGCAAGGTCGGCTACGGAATGGCGGCAGGGGTGGTGGCGACGGGGGCGCTCGGGGGTCCGTTGACGGGCCTTGCCGCGGCGGTCCCGGTAGCCGGGTAAGGAGGAAAATATTCACCCTGTCTCTGTCTCTGCCTCTGTCTCTGTCTGGGTACCGCTGTCTGTCTGTTTTGTCTGTCTGTCTGTTTGTCTTTGTCTCTCTCGCTGTTTCTCTCTCTCTCGATCTCTGCCTGTCTATCTTTCTGTATCTCTCTCTGTCTCTTTTCTCTCTCTGTCTCTCTCTTTCTGTCTATCCGTCTGTACTCTCCCGTGTCTCTGTGTGTCTCGCTCTTTGGGTGTGTGTGTCTCTCTAACGCGTATATCTCTTTGTCTCTCTCTATCTGTTGTAGCGTTCCTCTGGTGTGTTGTGCAATGGAAAGCAAGGCGCTTTGTCAGCACCTCTTCCTTGCTCGGTTGCTCTGATAAACAGCCTTGTTGTACAAAGATATTCTTGTGCGTCGCAGCGTTCGTGATTTTCGCTTGTGCAGTACCTCCTCCAAGCGTCTTTTCGTCCTTTCCTCCTTGGGTGTGCTTGGCTGTGTTCGTTGCTGCCATTGCCGCCGCCGCCGCCGCCGCCGCAAAGTAGTTAGAATCCACCATGGTACTCTCTAACGTGGGGATGCTCAACTTTGGTTTCTGACAAAAAGGTACTGGTGGCTGGGCCTTCGAGATCTGAAGCAGGAGTCGAGCACCCTCAAGCGCAACTTCCCGGTGCTGGCCAACATCAGGTGAGCGAGGGAGGTGAACTCGCGAGGAGTTCGACGCTGGGGCGGCGGGAAAAGCGAGGAATCGTCTCCTATCTGTCTACCGTGGCGTTGCTGGGTGTCCTCCTCCGCTCGGGTGTGTAGTGTGGGGGAAACGCCTGTTTAGTCGCACGTGCTTGTCCTGCTTGTGTGGGCGTGTAGGTTTCTGCGGGCGGTGGTGGTACCATCACTAGGTGACGGCGGCGATGTTGTGCGCGATGTGACGGTATTCTTCTGTATATATATATATCCCTGCTCGCCTTGCTGCCCTGGCTCGAAGAGAAGTTGTCCCGGCGTTAATTCTAGATATGATACCGCCAACCAGCGGGAGAGATCGTAAATACGATGTCGCGTTCCGCCCTTGTCTCGCTGCCCCCTGACCCCTGCACGACGACGACGACGACGACGACGACGACAAGGTTCCTGTTGGAGTCGATCCGGCCGGAGATTCGTCAGTACTTCATCGAGTCGGACAGCGAGAGCGTGCCCTTCTCGCGCGCCCACCGCTCCGTCGTCTACGCTCGCGCGAAGGGCTGCCCCGACACCCTGCCTTTTGGCACCCGCAGGGACCTCTACAAGGTGAGACGTGAGGCGTGCTCTCATGTTGTTGCATGCCTTAGCGGTAAGACCGTTGACCACGCGTCGTTCTGGAGAGAAAGCACGCTTGTGTTTTGCATGCCTTAGTGGTTGGACCACTGACCACGCGTCGTTCTCGTGAGGACGAAGAATGGGGCATGACTTACCAAGTCTTGCTTGGCACCTAGTGCTGAAGCACCTAGTGCTGCGAATTTCCGAGCTCTGCCCACCGCATCTATCACTATTTCGACATCATCGTCAACATCACCATCACCACTGCTGCTGTCTGTCTGCCCGCCTGCCTGCATGACGTGACGGACGGACGGTGCATCGAAATCGCGATTGCTAGGAAGGATACGAGTGGATCTGCCACAGCATGTACCCGGCGAAGCCGTCGGACGTGGAGCTGAGGGCCACTGTCGGCGGCCCCCTTGTCACGCAGAAGTACTCGGCCGCGCTGCTCAACGTCAGCGCCATGTCGTACGGGGCTCTCAGCGATAACGCCATCCTCGCGCTCAGCAGGTGGGCAGGATGGTCTCAAGGAGGGGGGGGTTCAGCAGTATTGGCTACGGTTTTAGTTTTTTTTTTTATGGGAAAGAAGGAATTATTACGAGTGTACCAGTAAGTGGCTTGTCTTGTCTCTGCGACGAGTAATACATAAAGTTGACAGTACGGCTTCAGCCAAAACGTGTTGGCTTGTTTTCTGCCCGCGACGTTGGTGCGTTGTGGTTGTGGTCGCTCACGGACATCATACGACCCTACCTGTGTGTTGGCAGGCGACCACAACGACACCACACAATACACCGCAATTTGGGCTTCACTTCAGATAACGTGATTACTGGTGGTAGCGATACTACTGTTGCGGATGCGTACCGCTCTGCGCGCGCGCCAATACCGAAAAAGAAAACTCGATGGAACCCCGAACAGCGCCGCGAAGGCGGGCAGCTTCTACCACAACACCGGGGAGGGAGGCATCTCGCGCTTCCACCTGGAGGGCGGGGGGTCTCTGGTGTGGAACGTGGGCACGGGGTACTTCGGCTGCCGCGGGGAGGACGGAAAGTTCGACCCGGAAAAGTTCCGAGAAAATTCCACAAGGCCCAACGTCAAGGTGTGGCCCGCCGGAACACGAAATGCGTTCTGTTTTTTTAGTGTGCGTGGGGCAGACACAAACGCGCGTACACAGATGGCCTTTAGAAGCGTTTGCTGTTTTCAAGCACACTGAGACTGACGTCTTTTCATTGGTCAGCCGGTTAGCGCGGTCGATTCTAAAAGTGAACGCACACACGCGCACACTGCGCTTCCCCTGTCGGTAGGAGCCGTTGAGAAGTGTTCACATTTTTTCCCCGCTACAAGAATGACGTATTTTCATTGGCTAGCCGGTAAGCGCGGGCGATGCTACCTATATGAAACACACCCACACACTGCCGTGTCTCGTGGTATTTTTTTGCAGTGGCGTGAGAGGGGTCCGTGCAAACGTTAGGTGTTTTATGTGCGTGGTGTGTGTAGAGAGGTGCCTGCCTGTGTCACTCACTCCCTATAGCTTGTCGGCGCCTGCGTGTCTGCCTCCCGTGAGTGAGCCTGGTTGAAAAAAACGAAGTTCTTGTTGGTCTTGGTGTGATGGTTAGTCGCGCTGCCGTCGTTTTGTTGTTCTTTTGTTGCGGTGGGTTTGGGGTCATCGATCCAGACTGCCGAGCGCAGTCAAACACACCCAGTTTTGAGGATCGAACCGCCCTTGAAATGTGGTACATACATATATTCGAAGCAGGATCTTCCCTCTAGCCGACCGGCAAGCCATTTCAACGAAACCATCGAGCATACCAAACAGAAAGAGCACAGGTAGGTGCAAAGACGCTTAGCTGGGTCAAACGCGCGACCCGCGAAGAGCGCTCGATCACCAATGATTTGAAGCACGTGGCCAATGAGCCGACACAAGCCGTGCGACCGCCATCGCTCAACTATGAGCCCCACGCAACCGTGCACCTGCTTGAGTCGATCACACACGAACAACGAACACACTTGAGTGAGCAAACAAGGGAGAACCAGCGAGGACGAGCCGAAGAGACTAACGCTAAATTTTCCAACACTGTTGCAAACCATTGCATGTCGACAACGTTCTCGTGTGGACATTGTGCCTTTGTTGCGACGTCCTGTGTGTGCTTCCATCGACCTATTGAAAACAGCCTTGCAAACCGTATTCGTGTATCTATGTAGGCGATATCTTTTTTGCTCCCTACAATATTTAGATCGCGTGTGCGCTTGATTCCATCGAACAAACAAAAAAAAGGCTTTCGATCCAGCTAGCTAACCAACCCCAAACACCTCTTTCAGATGATCGAGATCAAGCTCTCGCAGGGAGCGAAGCCGGGGCACGGAGGAATCCTCCCGGGGGCAAAGGTAACGTCTCTCATCGCCGAGGCGCGAGGGGTCAAGATCGGGCAGGATTGCAATTCCCCCCCGCTGCACTCGGCGTTCGGCGGGCCCAGAAGGCTCGTGGACTTCGTGGACCAGATGAGGGAGCTGTCTGGGGGGAAGCCCGTCGGGGTTAAGATGTGAGGGAAGGGGTCGTTGTGGCTGTCGTTTCGTTTTTAGTGGTGATGATGTTGTTGTTGTTGTTGTTGTTGTTGTTGTTGTTGTTGTTGGGTTGGGAAACTGGCTCCGAAGTTTGCAGGTAGCGAGTGGAGCACAGATGGCGATTGAGGATCGTGAATAGGGTTTGTCCGCGGTAGGTACACGATCTACGACGGTAGCAGTCTCTTCCTACCGTGAGCGGCAAGCCGGCATTCACCCAGGTTGATCCCCCTACACAGCCAGATCCTGTGTGTCCGCTGGGTGAATTAACGTCTTGCTGGAGTGAGAAGTCAGTGCCCCCCTTGCCCCTTGGCCACCGTGGCCGAGGAGGCGGTGGATGGTTGAGCTTGAGTACTCGAGGGTGATGAGCGAAGCCACACAAAACCAACCACGTCAAGACAAAGGATTAGGGAGATGCTGTCACTGAGCTCCCCCTCCTCCGTTCGTGACTTACGGCGCAGGGAACGAGTGGGGTCGGCGGCCGATGTGGATAATATAAGCCGATTCGTTGAAACCAAAGACTCATGATTGACCCCTCCCCCCCCCCCCCCCCCCCCCCCCCCCCCCCCCCCCCCCCCCCCCCCCC